AAAATCCTCATTCTTTCCTTTCTAAACAGGAGGAACATGAGCGGGTAATAAGTTAATTAATTAGAAGGGCGGGTAAGCAGAACATTAAATGAGGTTTTACAGTGATTCTCTGACAGGAGCAAAGGAAGGGAGAAACTTATGGCCGAAATTTTAGTCACTTATTAACCTCAGAGCCCAGGAAAGTCCCCTCAAGTCTTGTAATCAGAAAGAAACCATAAAAAGAGGCTTTTCTTGGCGGTTTTGTAGAAACAGTGAATGGCCTGAGAAAATCCCTAGTGATTTATTCCTCTCCTTGCACTATTCCTTGCTGTCTGAATCAAGAGAGCAGTTTTCCTGCTGCTTGAGCTGCAACCCAGCACCATTAATAAATAGCAGTGGGAAGGGAAGTGGAGTGGCTGAATTATCAGCTCCCCTTTGGAAACTGCCCTGATTAAAACACCCATTAGTATAAATTGTACTTTTATGGTGAACCCACTGTGCTAAATGTGAGACTGCATTAAGCCATTACACTCTTTGCAGCCACTAAATTGAATTACCTGGTGCATCTGTTTAGTAAACTGCAAAACCTGAAGGGCTTGGCAATCATTATTATTTATTTGGTGCATTTTGAGCTGTTTCTTTGACTGCTGGTGTAGGTACTGCTGGGCTTTGGTTCACAGTATCCCCTCTGTATTTAAACATAGTTCCAGGGTGCTGAAAATTGGATGGTAAGGAAATTGCCTTTTTAACTTTGCCTTGTGCAGAGCCATAATTCCTTCTTCCTCCTTATTCTCCGGTGCCAGAAGATTTGGAACACTTTTTTTTTGTTGTTGATATGAAAGATGATACATTTAAAGTGGGTAAAAACAGCATTTCAAATGTTCCTGTCTGCTCAGATCAATGCTGACAGCTCAGCTCACATTGAATGATTTAATTCATTCCTCCACCTGCTCACCAAGGGAAGGACTTGACCCTAAAAAATCTGTGCAGAGGGAGAAAAACTCTTTAAAACTCTTTCTGAGTGGAGGAAAATGTGTTTCTCATTCCTGTTCTGGGGACACACCTAGAGCAGGGGGGGCAGGAAGATCTGAGCTGGTTTTGCTGGGATAGGATGGAGGCCTGGAAGGTGTGGGAACCCTCTGGATTTCACGGGACCACAGATGGGTCACGCTGGAAGGGACCACAGGGGGTGATCAGGTTCCACCTCCCTGCTCCAGCAGGGCCATCCCAGAGCCCTGGCACAGGGTTGTGTCCAGAGGGACACTCTGGACACTGTTGGAACCATCTCAGGGACTCACAGAGCAGCTCAGGAGGGCCCAGATGGAACATCCCCAGTGAGGGACACTCTGGACACTGTTGGGAGCATCTCCTGGACTCACAGAGCAGCTCAGGAAGGCCCAGATGGAACATCCCCAGTGAGGGACACTCTGGACACTGTTGGGAGCATCTCCTGGACTCACAGAGCAGCTCAGGAGGGCCCAGATGGAACATCCCCAGTGAGGGACACTCCACAGCCTCTCTGGCCACTCCTGAGCTGCCCCTGGCGTGGGAAGTCCATGAGCTGCCTTGGACAGTGTTTGTTGCCTGAGGTCTTCTCCAGCTTGGCCACATCTGGGCTGTGGGTCCCTGCCTGGATCAGACCTGCTGCTGCCTCAACCCCTCTGTCCCCTGCTCTGCCCTGGCCTTTCTGCCTCTTCCTGCTCCTGGGGGTGTTTCTCCTGATCCTCCCTCCTGCCCTTTATAAAGAAACAAATGTTGGCAAATCTACCAGGTCTTGGCATGTTTTTTGGTGACTTTTCTGGAATTCCCAGCTCCTGCAAGCCCTTGGCTGGGGGGAATATCAGCCAGCAGGAAAGCAGCAGTTGTTTTTTGCTGTAACCTCGAGGGCAGGACCTCACTGACTGTGCTCAGGTTACCTGTGAGGAACCAGGAGCAAATGTATTTCCTGACTGCCTGGGATTGATATCCCAAAGCATCACTCCCATCTCCAGCTCCTCTCCTTGTTTCCTGAGCTGGTTTTGGTCCTTCTCCAGACTCAGGAGCATCCCATCAGCTGAGGGGCAGCTGGGAGGGGCATCCTTTTATTTCCTAGTTTGTGTGTGATTGTTTTCCCCCCATCCAGAGCTCCAGGAAGCTTATGGAGCTTATAGGAGTGGATATTGAGATCTGGAGGGGATGAGTCCCTCTGGGTCCTTGCCCTGGGCTGCAGGACCTGCTGAGATCAGGAGCTGAGATCGTGGCAGGAAGGAAGACCAGCCATGCTGGCTCCATCTTAGCCTGAATTTCCCAATTTCAGCAGCTCCCTGAGATATTCCCAACTCTTAAATTTGCACTAAAAAACAAACAAAAATGCTGACAAACCTGCTGATTTCACTGCTTGAAACAGTTTGACTTCCTCTTTTCCTCCCCTCTCCGAAAGACCTGAGGCTTGATGCTGAGAGCTGGGTCTGTCTGGGCTCCTGAATCATCCCCAGCTGCAGATTTGGGGCTGAGGATCCTCACCCAGTTTCCATTTGCCCATCTTTGAGCTTGAAAGGCTGGGAGGGAGATCACAGGACCAGAGAACGGATGAGGTTGGAAGGGACCACAGAGATCAGTTGAACTCAGAGATTATCCTGTCCAGTGTGTCAAGACTTTGACTTGGAATTTCAAATTCCTGATTTAATTGGGTGTCTTTCAGAACTAGAACCTCATTTTTCTATTCAACCTTTCTTTGTCATTTCTAGAGGTGACAGGACGGGTTTGGCTCAGCTAAACCCAGTGGGAAGTGAGGGATGGGACAGGAAAAGCAGCTGAGCTGGCTCATTTGTGGTCAGGTTGGACATTTGGGCAGCTCTAAGTTAGTCTGTGGCTCAGACAGTTTAGGCTTGTCCCAAGGACAGCACTTACACAGGGTGGGAGTTAGGGAATAAAGATTCAAAACTGAGAGAGCTGCAGTGATTTTAATTCATGGGTCAAACCTTGTTAGGACAAAGGACAAAACCAAGTTCAGTGCAGGTGCACTGGTACTGAGAAAACTCTCTGAAATATTTGCTAGAGCAAAGCAGTATTTTCTCCTGAGATATATATTTTTTTTTCCAAGAAATTATTTGTATCATTGAAAGAATCATCTGCAGTCCAGTGTCCATCAATAATAGTTCAATATAGTTCAATAGTTCATCATTATTAATTGATTCAAGAAACATTTGGACAATGCTCTCAGGGACAGGGTGGGATTCTTGGGGTGTCTGTGCAGGGCCAGGAGTTGGACTGGATGATCCTGTGGGTCCCTTTCAGCCTGAGATATTCTGTGATTCTGTGAAATTTTGGGATTAGACTCGAGTTTTTTTCAAACAAAAGCAATGTAGGATCCTTTGGCATCCACTTCTCTTTTAGATCCCATCCTACTTCTGCAATGGGAGTTATAAAACCAGTGTATTCCTTGGGGCTGGCTGTCATTTCAAGCCCCACCAGGAGGTTCAGACCATACTCAGAGTATCCTCACCTTTTGCAGTAACATCTTCTAATCTGAAGACTGATGTCAAGGTGAAAAGTCTTTATTGTACATTAAGTCTTCCCAATCTTTCTTTTCCATCCCGTTTCCCAGCCCTCTCCTCCCTCCTGCCCAGCCTGATGCTGTTGTCCCACAGGCAGGCCCCAGCCCACCCCAGCTACTGGGTCTTGCTGCAGCCTCTGCCTGCCCAGTTAATTGGTCCTATCTATATTTAGAAGTTTATTTGTGTCCTTATTGAATTACACTCTGATTTGTCCACTTTGTCATGATCAGTTTAAGTTCTGATCCTGCCCTTTAACATCCTTGCAGCCCCTCCCAGCTTTGGGCCATCTGCAAATTTAACAAGTGTCCTCTTGTTAATTAAAATGATGACACCAGAGCCAGGACAGGCCCTCACAGAGTCCCTGCTCCAAACACTCTCATATTTTGACAGGGAATCATAATTACTTTGCAGATAAGGCTGTCTAATCAACTCTGAGTCCATCCTCTAACTGCCTCACAGAATTAGATAATAGTTTGGGCTGGAAGGGACCTTAAAGTTCATCTTATTCCAGTGTGGGAATGGGATGGATTTGGGGGTTTCCTTAATGTTTAACAGAGCTGCAGGTGCATGTTATAATTTTCCTAATTTATCAATTTTTGCATTTGGATAAATCACTCCATCCCTGGAAGTGTCCAAGTGGGAAGCATCTCCTGCAGCTCTGGCAGCCTTGGGGCTGTGCCCACTGCCCTGGGGAGCCTGGGCAGTGCCCAACCAGCCTCTGGGGGAAGAACCTTTGCCTGAGATCCACCCTGAGCCTGCCCTGACACAGCTCCAGCCGTTCCCTGGGGGCTGTCCCTGCTCCCCCAGAGCAGAGATCGGAGCTGCCCCTGGGGAGGAGCTGCAGCCCCCCCTGAGCTCTGCCCTCCCTTCAAGACATTGAACCTAAAGGCTCCTCATCCTCCTGGGAATCCCTCTGGAAGGTCTCACCATCAAAACAAGCCCCTTTGGGATCAGCAGGACCAGCAGTGGTGCAGCTTTAGCTCCCTCAGTCACCTTGGATGGAACATTCCCAAGGACCACTTGCCACAGGCATTTCCAGCCCCAGCTGCCCACTGGGAATATTCACCTGGAAATGTGAATAGTGAATATTCCCCTAGAAATGGGAACAGTGAAACTTCTCTACATTTCTCAAGTAAATTGCAAGTATACAACTATCAAACCTGTAAATTACACCTTTGATTGGAGAAAAGAAACTCTTCTAAATGAAGGGAACTCAGCAAACTCTGGTTAGATCAGCCTAAGGGTGGGAATTCTTAGTGGGATTTCTTCAGCTCCTGGCTGTAAAATGAGTAGGAATTTGCATTCTGGAAAAAGCAGGGGTGGTGAAAAATGATGAAGAAAAGCTCTAGACCAATTGGCTAATTAATTCTCTCTCCAAAGATACTAGAAATAAACAGAGGGAATGCAAAGCCAAAAAGAAATGATCCCAAGGAAAGCTGCATCTTAAGGATTGAGAAACAACATTATCAGTGAAAAATAACTCACCCCTTGACCTGAGCTGGGTTTGCAAACACACCCCAGTGGCTTTCAGCAGGAGATCTGCTGCTCCCTCCCAAAACTGGGGACCAAACTCCCGACTGAACACGCCGGCCAGAATTTCCCGTCTGGAAAATGGAGATGAGAACAGAAGGGAAAGAACAGAAAGCCATTAATATTTTATAAAGCATTCAAACCCTGCAGTACTGAGTGCCACAGAAAAGCCTCTGAGGAGATAAACAAATTTCTGTCTTCAGAGCAGATGTTGAAATAATTACAGTAAATAAGGCACAAGGCCACTCAGAACAGGCTCTTGGATCTCTGCTGCTCCAAAGCAGAGCCCTGGAAAGAACGAATCCTCTCACAAGGGCTGCAGCAAAATGCAGATTTACAACAAAGTTTATTTAAATTTGAGGGGAAGAACCTTTTATTTCACATTTCCAAGCTTTGGGGACCTTGACTTTGACAGTGTAGAACACATTCTAAGGCAGACTCCAGTGCAGGGAAAAAAGTGAGACTGTAAATCTAAAATGAAATATTCCGATGGCTTTAAAAAGAAAAAATCACCTGTAGCAGCAAAGATGTTGGATTTGACTGCATTAAAGGTCTTTTCCAACCTTAATGATTCTGTGATTCTATGATTTTGACAATGAAAAAGATATTGTATATTCAGAATAGACAGCAAAGTGTTGGGTCATTTTTGTGCTCTGGAAAGTTCAGCAATGACCTTTGCATCAATAATAACTCTAATTACAATCCCAATGGATAGTGTCCTGTAAAGTGATTATTGTCAAAGTGTCAGAAGTTAATATTTTTTATATTTGTGTCTCTAGGAACATTTTGAAAATTGTTTGAGTGTTTCTCCCATTTCCTTGCCTCTCTTTCTCTCACCTCAAATCTAAATAACCCCCAATGCTGACAAAGTGATTGAGATGAACTCTTGGTTCCTGTTGTGGTTCAGCTTTTCAAATAAGGACTTTTATTAAAATGTTACCCATTCTGTGATGCAACAACTCACACAAGCTCTGTCCTAGAGTGTAACAATGATGTGACATCACCAACACCACCTTGAGATGTGGATTTTGCAGCAAACATTGAGAATGAATAGAGAAATTTATTTCAAGTGGTGACAATATCAACGTTTTCCAAGGACCAAAGCACCAAAACCCTTTTATACTGAAATGAATAGTGATGGTTAAGTTCTTCCTTGCTTTATTTCACCCGGATTCCTCCCATCCTTAGTCATTCATTCCCATCACTGAGGTGTCTCACAGTTCCAGCAGGTTCTTGGCAGCAGTTGAAGTTCTGCCAGTTGAATTTCTGACCTATATGTCAGAGTTTGGACCTGGCTCCCCTCCAAGTCCCCAAGACCCAGTGAAAAGCCTCTGGCAAAGAGTGAGAGAGAAAAAACTATGGGAAAAAAACAGAATAGCAGAACTATATTAAAATATATATATATTTACATATATCACAGTTATATACAGTCAAAATACTGCACATACAAAAAAGAACCCCAAACAACAACCCCTCCAGAAGGGGAAGGGAAAAGGGACAAAACCACAAAAAAACCCAAAGCAGGTATGCACAATCAATAAAATCTAGCAAATACCCTCCTTGAGACAGCAGAACTGCACCAAACAACCGCCAGCACCCTCTGCCTCCCAAGGCCTACAAGGCCTCACTAGGCCTCACTAGGCCTCACTAGGCCTCACTGGGCCTCACTGGGCCTCACTAGGCCTCACTGGGCCTCACTGGGCCTCACTCCCCCACACAAACAGGACTGACAGCAGAGAACCTGTGCCTTCAGATCCACCAGAAGGGAAGAGGAGAGGGAAGAGGCTTCTCTCTCCTTCTTATTTATACCCTGGCTTACGTAAAAATCGTATGGAACACTGGGAACATGGCCACTTCCTCGGTTACAGACTGGTCACCAAGGAAGGCCTAGACTAAAATTATCACACCTGTAGCGGCATCGCTGGGTTTGCTCTGGGAGAGTTGGTCTAGTTCAGCAATGCTGACTTCCTAGAGAGAGGAAATCCAGGAGTTGACCTCTTCTCCCAAGAAACCAGTGATAGGACAGGTGGAAGTGGCCTCAAGTTGTTCCAGGGGAGGTTCAGGGTTAGATATGAAGGAAAATTTCTGTGGAGGTCAATAAAGCTAAGACGATCCCAGGGAGTCGAGAAGACTGGAATCCTTTATTGGACACACAACTTCATATTTAAAGGGTTTAGGGTTTACATATTTAACGGGGAGTTTACATATTCATGGTGTTTAAATTGGGGGGTTTCACAGGGATGACATAAGGGGAAAACCCAGCTTAACACATTTTGGAGTCTTAGGAATTACCTCATGGGAAAAACTCTACCTTATCTTGGGGGATTTTACAGGGGGGATTAAGTGTTGGATCTATAGGATGCCAGGGATACAGAGTTTACACAGGCAAAGGGGGGAACACAATGGGTTTTATGCAGAGGTCTGATGAGATCAGGATGTGGATTCTCTGGCATGTGATAACATCATGTAAGGAGTTTCTTTACATCCTGCTGCAGAAGGCAGGAAGAGTCCACAGAGATGAGGTCAGTGAAAAGGGGTTTTTCCACCTTTTGTTCCCCGTGGCCTTCTGCAAAGACCACTCAAATTTCTTTATGCAGATGTCATATTTTGGAACCCAACACATTTCCTCACTGAAAGAGTGGTCAAGCACAAGAACAGGCTGCCCAGGACAGGGGTGGAGTGACCATCCCTGGAGGTGCTCAAAGGATGAGCAGACGTGGCACTTTGTGATGGGGTTCAGTGACACGGTGGGGTTTGGTTGAAGGTTGGACTCGATGACTTTGGAGGGCTTTTCCAACCTTAACGAGTCTGTGACTGAATCACTGCACGAAGAGCCCAGGGGCTGGAGCCTTTTGGTGTCTAAACCACTCCTGGTTCTCCCATTGCAGGAACCCTGTAGGATCCTTTGTGTCCCTCCCCTGGTGCTGGGGGTGACCTGCAGCCTCCTGGTCACCTTGTGCTGGGGGAGCTGTTGATGACAACCCAACAGAGCTGTAATATCTTAACACTCACTGCTTTTCCTATGTATTGGGGCAGCATTTGTCCACCTACACCTGCCCAAATGCTGCTTCTCACTAGTTTTTAAGTCTCCTCTCTGTAGAAACAAAATTGCCTGGGGTTTGCACCCATATTTTGACTTTAGCTGCAATTTAGGTGTGCAGACGCGACTCTAAAAACCTTGTTTCCATCAGAAGCCTTGCTAAGAAGCAGCACTGCAAAGTACAGCAGTTCAAAAAGCCACCAGAAGTGCAAAACCATCATTTAATTCTGCCTTTCCCCACTTTTGGAGGCTCTTACTCAGACACTGCGTGTCGGGGCACGACGGTGCCTTGGGCTCCCCACTCCTGCAGTGCCAAGAACAAACAGAAGGAACACAGGTACTTTGAGATTCCCCTCCTGGGTATCCATCCTGCATAAATATAAAAATGCAGAATCAGTCCTAAAAAAAAATAAATCAAAAAGCCCGAAATTCTCTGATTGAACCAGCCCTGACCCAGTGCTTGATCAGTGCTTGGCCCTGGTTCTGGGAGCTGCTGGCATTAGAGGGGTGTGTGTGCAGATATCCATGTGCTTGGATATCCTGGGAGCAACTGCTCCCTTTTGCAGCACCTGGCTCCTCTCTGCCTCAGCCACCCCCCTGCAGGGGCTGCCAAGGGGCTCAGCTGATGCTCAACCTCCTGCACAGGAGGAACAGGGCTCGTGGCTCAGGTCCCAGCTGTCCTCTGGGCGATCTCAGCAGCTCCTCATTATTTGGCTTGCTGGGCTCCACTTCCATCTTTTTCCACATATGGACTTATCATTTCATTGTGAATCTGGACAAGGCTGAAGGAGGCAGGAGTTGGCTAAGCTGGACCAGCTCCCCTTGGTTTTGACACCTTTGCTGGGGGGAAACTTTTCTGTCCAGGCAATCAACCCCTTTCTGTGACCCCTTGAAATGCCCCTTGAAGGTGTCTCTCCAATTCTTCTGCTTTATCTACGCCCATCTCTGTTTCCAACTGAGGTGTCTCCAAGCCATGGTTGGTTAAATTTCTCCTTTAGTACCTGAGAGACCTTTGAGCACATCCAGGACACCAATATCTCCCAGAGAATTCTTCTTAATTCAGATTTCACCGTGCTTAGAGCATTGCCCACAAATATCCCTGCAGGCTCTGAATGTTTGTCCTCTATTTTAACCCACCAAAAAAAAAAAAAAGAAAAATCCTAATAAGCTGTTCTGGCATCACTGAAATCTTCGACAGTATCATGTGGGGCTTTGTGCAGTGTTTTTGTCAGGCATAATTAGCACTTTGAATGTGCACACATCAGATGGTGCTTGAATAGGAGAATTCCTTTAACCCCTCAGCCTCCAGCACATCCCTCTGCGTGTCCTGGAATGACACTGCCAGGAAGCAGCAGGAGGATTTCTGGTTTCAGTGGTTTGCTTTGAGGCTCAATGTGGTACCAAATCAAAAGCACTGAACTCGTTTCTCCACGTGTGGAAGTGGGTAATGGCAACACTGATGATTGTTAATATTTTCATATTAATTCAACATTGAAACTCTTTCTTTGATGTCTTTGTGAACATCCAACAATGATGCAGTGAGTTGAGATGTCTGGTGTAGCAATACCCAGGTGGAAGAGGAAACTTCAGTGAGGTTTTTTTGAAGTGGCTCAGGTGGTGGGGTGAGGTCAGAATGGGACAAACTGGTGCTTCCCTGCTGAATTCAAGATTTTTCTAAGTAGAAAAAACCTCTTGACATTCCAATTAATTTAATTTTAATTCAGGGAGTAGGATTTTAAGGTTAGCAATCAAACCCCATAAATGTGAGCTTCAGACTGAGCAAAGCACAGCCCGACTGGACAGGACAGGGAAGGACCGCGCTCTTGGTTGGCAGTGGGGGGTCACCTGCATCCCATGGGAATTGCTCTGCACCTTCTACCACTCAGGGTTCAGCCACAATCACATTCTCTGGCTCACCCAAAAGGCATTCCCAGAGGAAATCCCTGTGGAGTGGCAGAGGGTCGGGGAAGGCATCGAACGCCTCAGCCCTGAGCTGCTCTGTGCCGTGTGACGGGTTGTTCTTGCAACAGGCCGTGGAAAAGATTTTGTTGCGTTTATGGAGCAATTTCGGGAGTTAAAAGCTTGTTTGTTGACCCAGACTTGGATCAGGCTCTGCACAGGAGGGCTTGGCTTCCCCAGGACGTCCCCAAGCGAGGAGGAAGCCCTGGCTGTGCTGCAGGAGCGGGGTGTGTGTCGGGCAGCTCTCCCAGCACGTGCACCATGTGCTGGCTCACCCGAGCCAAGGCTCCTGCTGTCCTTCCCTCCAGGTTTGTGAGCAAATCCAAATGAACTCTTGTTTTCCTCTATCCCTTGGCCCAAACCTTAAAAGGGGTGTTTTTGTGTGAAACCGAGGACTGATTTGCATACTTCATTTTCTTTACTCTCACGAGCCCAAACAGATCCCTTCCCCTCTCTCTCTCTCTCTCTCTCCCCCCCGACATCTGTTCCTGGATTTCTTGTTTTGTCCCTACCAAACCCTGAGTTTGCTGCACGAGGTCCTGGAGCCTCCAGGGTGTTCCCAAGCCCAGGAGTGCCACCTCACCCCACCAGCACCCGCCCTGCCCGTGCTCCCAGTTCGGAGGGGTCGGACTTTCTGCTGCTCCTTTTGATCCTGGTTAATAACGCCCAAAAATAGCACCGAGGGGCCTCCTCCTTCCTCCCTCTTTGTTCATCTCGCGGAAGGTTGAGGCTCCTGTTGGAACGTGGCAGGGGGTTGTGTGTTATTTATTCCCTCCATGCACAGCCCCAGCCCTGCAGAGGAGGAGGCGCCGTGGTTGGAGCAGGGAAGGCACGAGCCGGGCACGGTCTGCCCCGGGATTTATGCAAATATGGATATTTTTATGCCAATTTAGACTCAACTGCCTGTCTTCTGAGGGAAAAAGTGGCAAGTCTGGCTACAAGCCAGAGCACAAGGCAGTCATTCTCTCTGTGCCTGTTTGTAGGGAAGGGGCTCCCAGGGATGCTGTGCTGGGGGGAGAGCGGTGATTCCTGGGATCAGGAATTCAGGCTGCTGGTCCATGGGGTGGGAGGAATAGGTGGAACCCCAGGCTGGGGAGTTATTTCCTCATTGCATATTCCCCTCTGCCTGTTGCTGAGGTTTGTCTTGGCTGGGATGCTCCGGGTTCACAGCTGGGCTGTAAATCCCATCCTAGTCCCGGAGTTTTGGGACACCTGAGCTGCCCAAAACAGAGGAGGGGAGGGGAGGATCTGCCTCTCCCAGTCCCACCCTGCCCTTCATTCTTCCTCGCCGTCCCCATTCTCATCCCTTCCCACCTCCCTGTTACAGCCCTCGGGGAGAGGAGCCAAGAAATCCGAGGCTGAGCCACTGCAGGAAGCACCGAATTATGTGTGAAGCTGGAAGTCTTGCAGCTGTCTTAGACATGTGAAAAACTTTCCATAAACATTTCTGGATGCTTTGGGGCTCTAAAAAATAAAAAGAAAAGAACGACCAAAAAATTAAAAGCAAAAATTACTGCTGGGGGACGTCGGTTTGATTGGAAATTCTGAAATTCTCTTTCAAGCTGTGGGTTTTTTACATGGACCATTTGAAATTAGTGCTGTGGGAGGCT